ATTCAGGATCACTTTTGAAGTACATAATAGCATTTCAAGATAGTATAAAAGGAGAAACAATAGTTTCCATCTTACTTCTGGATACCCCACCAAGAGATCATTGGAGATTTTGTTCTTTACTATGAGTAATTGGTCAACTAAAGCAGGAATGACTAACTTTGACACAGCAAATCTTAATGTAATATCCTTTGCAGCATAGCAAAGCACTTCAAGTTTATGATCTATAACCAATAGCTTTGTTTCTTCTGAAGCTGAAATGAAACAAGTAGACAAGTGTTCACATGAGTTAATACGAGGAGGAACAAAAATTTGTACATTGAGTAAAGGAATATGAGGGGTAAACTGAGCATTGAAAATCATTACATTCATATAGAGATCATGTATGAGCGCAGAATCAAAAGAAAAGAAAACTAATGAACTAAATAATCATCACCTGGACAATACTCAGAAACAGCTGATGCAAGTCTGAGAGGAGCCCTTGATTTATTAAGAAAGATGCTTACTTGAATTACATCTGCACTCTGAAAACTGAAGAATTTTCAAATTGAACTATGAAGAGCCCAAAATATTGAAGGAATGAGGAGTAAGACAGCATGTTGTTGCATTAGCCAGTCCGGATCAATAGATATTGCTACCAACTTTCAAGGGGACAATTGTGGATGAATCATACCTCTTCTATAGAGCTAAACGTTGACATATTTTCACTAGATTCAAATAGGGATGAACATAACAATGTGTTGGCATTCAAATTTTTATTGCAAGCAGAATCAGCTTGCTGTGCATGCGGTTCTTCTAATTCCATGTTCTGAAGGATGACAGGTGGAACACTAGCTGAAACTTTATTCAGTGCTTCAATAATGAATGTCAGTTGTGGATCTCTAAGTGAAGAAGCAATACCATCGATTGCACTTGCATATATATCATGAACAGCTGCAGAGATCATGTACAAATGTCAATATGGAAAAATATATTTTGATGGCATCAGTGATTACCACCTATACTTTTTTTTACGTAGCATTGTGAATGCAGACATGTACTTTATTTATTGTTTCCTTACAAAACCAACAACAGAACAACAACAACAACAACAACCCAGTTGAATCCCACATCAGTAGGGTCTGGGGAGGGTGTGTGTACGCAGACCTTGCCCCTACTCGGAAGTAGGGAGGCTGTTTCCAAGAGACCCCCGGCTCCACCTGCACAAAAATATGGAAGAGAACACAGTATAGCACAGATAAGGCACCAAGTATAAGCAACAAGTACAAACAATAGCCAAAGATTCCCAACAAATACAACACACTACAAAACAACCTCTACAACACCGAGCTCCTATCCAGCTACTCTAATCCTAGTTCTCCAAAGGTTCCTATCTAGGGCCATATCCTCAGTCAGGTCGAGAAGTCCTAAATCCTGTCTTATCACATCCTCCCAATTCTTCTTAGGTCTACCCCTTCCCCTACTTCCCCCGATAACAGTAATCCTCTCGCATCTCCGTACAGGGGCGTCAGCATCCCGCCGTCTCACATGGCCAAGCCACCTCAACCTCGCTTCCCGCAACTTGTCTTCCACCGGTGCCATACCTACTTGACGTCGGATAACCTCATTCGAAATCCTATCCAACCTTGTCTTCCCGCACATCCATCGTAACATCCGCATCTCCGCCGCATGCAGACGACGCACATGAGTCTTCTTAACCGCCCAACACTCTGCCCCATATAACATAGCAGGTCTGACTACGGATCGATAGAACTTACCTTTCATTCTAGGCGAAATCTTCGGATCACACAACACCCCTGAGGCTAACCGCCATTTGGCCCAAGCCACTCCAACCCGATGTCCAACATCCGCATCTAACTCCCCATCCGCCTGAATTACCGAGCCAAGATAACGAAACCTGTCTACTTAGGTACTAGGTGAGAGTCAATCTTGACTTCCACCTCTGATTCTGTATCCCGGCCGCTGAAACGACATTCCATGTATTCAGTCTTGTTCCTACTTATTCTGAATCCTTTAGTCTCAAGGGCAAGGCGCCATAATTCCAACTTATCGTTTAGTCCCTCTCGCGTGTCGTCGATAAGCACAATATCATCCGCGAAAAGCATGCACCATGTTGGACAAAGGCCAGCAGAGACATTCTTACCTAATACGATGTGACAAACTAAACAGTTCACACTCGTTGGGATTTTATAGTGGGTTTCAGGCAGAGTTCAGTTTAGTATCGTTGAGTTCTTTAAGTAAAAATAAAGCACACATTACTACTCAATCAAAATTTACAATCGAAAGGTAAATGTGGCAACCAAAATCAGAGTTACAAATAAGCCACAACGATCGCTTGATAAATTTTCTGATCATAGATCGTGATGATGACAAATAAATTCTTGTCATACAATCCATAGCCTATGAAGTATATGAAGGCTTAATTTATCATTTCTGGCAATCTAATGCCACTCACCATGTAGCCTAATAAAAACACAGTAGCCCCAAAAAGGAGAGAACTAAACTACAAAAAATCAGAGAAGAAGTCACCTTTGGGATTGTGCAGAGGGTAATACAAAGGAAGCTTAATTGGGAGCTCACACCGAATCAAACAGCCTCTTCCCCAAACAAATTTCTCAGGCTTCTCTTCCTGCAAAACACAACTTATGCTCTCCAATTCCCCACCTGCCCTCGACGCGAAAAACTGGGCATTGCCCCCGCAGTTCAAATCCACCACAGCTCCAATCAAATCCTGTTTTTCACTACCACACAATATCTTCCTCAGTTTACTAGCCGCCTCAATAGCAAACCCAGCAGTTTGTTTAAGATCGCAGCCCTTTTCCACTACCATGGCTCCAATCACCTCAAGCCCCTTTGGCAGCAATGTCCTAATGTCATCTTTCACACAACAACAACAAAAAAATAATAATAGATGGCATAGTCAAACAAAACACAAACACATCAATCAGAAGGGTTTTATCCGAAATCGATGATGAAAAACAAACCTGATTCTTTGGAGAAATCGGGGGACGAAGGGTTGGAGTGGATACAACGGAAGGTAGAGATGATTGTGGGAGGAGATGGGAAGAAGGGGGATCCAACCAGCCATTGAAGGCCGGTTTCGTTCTTGATAATGTGGAGATTCCGGCAAAGGATCCGAACACTAGGCTTCTTCGGGTTTTCACTATCCATGGGAGTTGGCAGTGTGTTCGAAATGTCAGAACTTTGTAGGAATTACAGTGTGAGATTTTATCTTGTGCAGACGAACAACCATGCTAGTATATCCCAAATTCTCAATACACCTACATTTTAATGTTCACACAAAAAATAATAGTTCCCTAATAAATGAGAGAAATTATGGATAGAAGGAACAAAATTTTGGAGAAAATTATTCACAATAATATCAACTTTACTCAATCTTCAATAATAATCTTTCACTATGATTCATAATAAAAGTTGGAATTATTTTTGATGAATTTTTGTTTTTAAATTTTTTTAATAAATTTTCATTTAAATTTTTAATATGACTTTCTACCACAATTTTTTTTCTTTTCTAAAATATTAGACTTATTTTAGAAAAAAATAAAAAATAGATATAAAAAACAAAAAATGAGAAAAATAACTAAATGGATACAAAGTTCATAAAATAAATAAGGTAATCAATAGAAACTAACTTGAAACAGAAAATAAAAAAATAAAAATAGATGGAGTGGTGGGTTTTAAATTTTAACATTTCACGCACTATATGAATTATTAATGTACCACTTATTCTTATTTTTAGAAAAAATTATCAAGAATAATTTCAACTTTATTTTTTTCAAAAAATAAGAACATGTAGTACATTAATACTCTGTATAATGCGTAAAATGTTAGAACCCACCGTTCCATATATATTTATTTTTTTTTCTTACAAGTTTCAGTTTAATTTCCATGGATTACCTTACTTATTTCATTTATTTTGTATGATTTTAGTTATTTTTCTTATTTTTCGTTATTTTTTATATCTTTTTTTCTATGTTAAGACTAATCTTTAAAAGTAAAAAAGAGATGGGGGTCGAAAGCCATTTTAAAAATTTAAATGAGAATTTAGGAAAAAAATTAAAAACAAAAATTCATAAAAAATAATCTCAACTTTAATTTGAAGCGCAAAACAGGCCGGCATTCTTGTTAACTCACTGTTATTAATTTAACAATGACCAAAAAATTCACAAATTTCAGTAAAATTAAAATTATTATGCATCACAGTGTGAAAGATAAGATTATTTTTGAAATATCAAGTAAAATTGTAATTATTTTGAATAATTTCTCTTAATATTTTTAGGACGAAAAAAATATAATAGGATGTGAGAGAAAACATACAAATGAACAAGAGTTATTATTATGTTAGAATAGTAATAAGGACATTAATTTATGGGCAGAGCAAGTACTTTAATATATATTATGTGTATTTATTTGACATTAAAAAAATGAATTTAGAATGACTCGAGATATACGAAGTTTCGTTGGTATAATTGATAATTCTAGCCACCAACGCATCCTACTCCCTAAATCTCGATCTAGAAGGCTGTGTGGGATGCATGGGATGGTTGGGGAGGGGGGGTTAGGGGGTAAAAGTTAATGGTAAAAATCATCAATTTTATTAACGGATTATATACAAATCATTCTAAAGTCAAAATCGTTCAGGTGAAAAGAACCATTGTGATATTTATTCAACTGTATTTCACATTTAAATAAAAAAATCACATTTAAACGGATCAATTCGGATTTAACAAATTTTTAATTTTGAAAACCGTTTTTACCCGTTAGTACAAAGAAACCGACCCGTGACACCCAAATGTAAAGAAAACGAAATATTGAATCCCAGCCAAATTCGTCGCGAACCCGTGCGATTCGGTTTCTAGCAGCGATTCGAAAACGGGGCTGCCACCCCTATGCCTACCTGATGGGTGTCGGCTCATTGTGTAATGTGTAAACGTCTTATTCGTTCGTATACAAAAGGAAAAAAGCGAAAAAACCAATAATGGCGCTACACTTGGGCCGCCGCTTTTCCATTGGTGGTTAATAATTTTTTTATTTTATTTTAACAGAGCTCAATAATGGCGATCACTAGTTCATGGGATCTCCCTTAGCTAGCTGCCATGTTAAATCTTGCCCCAGAGATTTATCGTCTTTCCTCTTTCTCTCTTCAATTGCATTCTCATCGCCATTTCTACTGCTTCCAGGCTCATCTGATCTGTCGTTGCCGGTGGGGTTTCCTTGATTCATTCCCTTTTCTGCTCACATTGATTTTCACATTTATGAAGTCATTGTTCAAACCCCAGAAGCTGGAAGAAATCTTTGCTAGCTAGGGTTGTGATGATCAATGGAGTCTTTGCTTGCTCGTTGGATTGAATTTCACCGAAAACCCTAATTTGAAGTGGATCTGGAGCGTGAGGTGAAGAAGCCCTAAGGACTAGGGCACTGTGAGCTAAAAAAAGATTGCGTTTTTTTGTGTCAGTTCTCTTTTGTTTTTCTTAGCTATCAGTTAGTTCAAGCAGCTCGGTTTGCGTTTTGTTAATCTCTTGGATTGGGATGGGAGGCGATTGATCTCGGGTTCCGGGTTTGTTGGAATTCCGGTGAGATGATTGATCAGTTCATCAATTTCGTCATTCGGCCACCTAGGTGCGTCCGCATTTCTTTTCCTATAACACTGCAATACTTGGAGCTAGTCATGGTTCATCAGGTTTCATCATTTGTCCACCATAAAGAGGATGTCATTTTGGGCTGATGTATAATTTTTTCTTAGCATTAATAGAAAATTAGAACAAAAAGAAGAATGTCTAAAGATTAGGGAGACAAATGGAGAACATGAGTACTGTTTACTGTCATCATTCATCAATATCCAGCATTGGAGGACACTGCACTAGAGTTTTCATGCATTACTATTCTAGTACGCAGTTTCTTATCGCAAGTGTTACTTTTTCTTCTGGCCATTGGTTTTACTCATATCATGTAGCATCTAATGGTGATAAATTATTTTGCATGAATATGTTGGATGTTATGTAGAAACACGGTTGATGCAGAACTTGGTGTCTGTCTATCATGAGTTCATGATACAGATTACAATCCATTCGTTTTCCTTAATGAAACTATGATTTGAAATGACTTTTGGATAACATATAACAATATACTACCAAAGATCCTTTTTATAAAAAAATATATTTCTGATTTTTTTTATAATTGGTATTTGTGAACTTATTGATTACTCTGTGTGATAACAGGGCAGAGTATAATCCAGATCAATATTTATGGGAGAAAGATTTTACTCTGGCCGGAAGGAAATACAATAGACATGATCTGGAGGCAAGTTAGTGCCCCCACTTTACCAAAACTTTTGGGTTTGATTAAATATATTAATGGTGTTTAGAAGTTTGTACTCAAATCAATATAACTTTTCAGCTTAAGAACAAAAGAGGTCATACTTTACAGTGTAGCCATTATGTCCCATCCTCTTTTCCAGACGACTCGCCTCTCCCGTGTGTTATTTACTGCCATGGAAACAGGTATTTTCTCAATAATCAATGTTATTAGGAACATTATGAATTTTTATTAACAGGTTTTCTTGTTTACTTGTCCAGTGTGTTTTTCTTCTTATTGTTTCATGTGTTGTCGCTCTAATTCCCTCTAAAGATATGATCTTTTCTGAAAACTGACTTAATATAATTATGCAGTGGATGCAGAGCAGATGCAAATGAGGCAGCTGTCATCCTTCTTTCATCTAATATCACTGTCTTCACTCTAGATTTTTCGGGTTCAGGATTGTCTGATGGTGATTATGTCAGTCTTGGCTGGCATGAGGTATACTTTCTTGATTGCTTATGCTTATCAATTACCTTAGAGGCCTGTAGTAACAGTTTTGTTGTTTGCCAGAAAAATGACCTCAAGGTTGTTGTCACATACCTGAGAAGCAATCCCAAAATATCACGCATTGGTCTTTGGGGGAGGTCAATGGGTGCAGTAACATGGTACTTTACTCTTCTAACTTCAAATGCTTGTTCATATTTTAAAATTATTTAGATTTTTGTTCATGTTGGACCTGCATTCAATCTTGAATACTATTTTGATGCTAGTGACACTTAAGGAAATAACTACTTGTACTTCTTGGAGACTGAAAACCTCATAATGCAGCCTTCTCTATGGAGCCGAAGACCCCTCTATTGCTGGAATGGTGTTGGACAGTGCTTTTTCCAACTTATTTGATCTAATGATGGAGCTTGTGGATGTCTATAAAATCCGGCTTCCCAAGTTTACAGTATGTATTACTTTCTATCCTTCTAATGTTATTCTTGTAATCAGTTTCAAATGCATTTAAAGAGTGTCTTTAATCTCGTGTGTTTACATGTAGAGTAATGCTTTCTTATATGCTCTTTATTTACGTTCACGCATGCTGCCTATATCATCCGCACATGCTTTATAAAATAGAGCATGTCGCTCTTTCATTAAGAAAAGATCTTGCAAGATGTGTTTCTTCTTTTATCTTGAAAGATATATCAAAGTGGATTAATGATGACCATACAGTCATTAATATTCTAATTAGTATTGTTAATAACAATACTCCGTAATAAATTAATAATAATAACAATAATTATAATCTTATTATTAGTAGTAGTAGTAGTTTCCTATTAGTAGTCTTATTCAAATTTAGTCAATCTTCCTAAAGGGATTTACTATCAATCTTCTATTAGTGGGTCTTATTCTATTTTATTTTATATTCCAAATAAGGGTATATATTTCCTAGTATGAATATGGTAAGTCTCTGGTAAGGCTTTGCCTATTTATATTGAGCACCTCTAATAACAAAAGGAATGGTTGAAGTCAAAGCTCTAATTATGAGAATCTAGTCACAACCTGCCCTCTCCTCCTAGCCAAGAGCAGGGAAGGATCAATATCTTCTTCTTTTGCGTCCACGTCTACAGTTGTTGCAATTTCGCATCGGAGTCATTTTCTTTCCTACCCTTTTCATCTCCGTTGTCCTCGTTTTACTTTTAGGGTAGGACCAATATCATCATTTATGTTCACTAATGTGTCAGTAACAGATGATTCTTGCTGATAGCTGAGACAATAGAATCATCGGTGGAGCTTATCTTATTTAAAGGAAAATCATGTCCTCTTCTGCACAACATACCTTGAATCTCATTTCCCCACCATGAACCATCAACGTGTTGTCATTTCCATCATCTACTGCATTGCATCACGCCTTCATTTTCCATAATTATGTAGTAAAGTAAAAGATTAATTCGTAACCAGTCTTATGTGCTACTCCCTCTGTCACATAATTATGTTCTTGGTTTGATTCACTTTTTAATACAATGGAAGTTGGATGGTTGAAATTTGTGGAGATGAGAGGAAAACAACATGAGCCACAAAATCTTTCCTTGAAAAGGAAAGTGGGATAGTCCAAGTAGGAAAACAAGAAAAAAATTATGGGACGGATGGAGTATATTTTCCTGGTTTACATTATTAGTACTACTAATATGCATTATACTCATAACATATTATGAGTAACATAGATGTGCCATTACGTGAACAAAATGAAATACTTCAAAGCTCAAGTTTTAATGTTCACTGTCAGGTTTGAGCATACTTGCTCAAGAATCAAAGTCATCAATTATGTTTTGCCTATCTTTTCTGAAAACCATATCTCACCCAAATAATTTCCCCAACTTGCAAACATGTAGAATATATTATCCTACTCTCTATGTCTTAAGCTTAAAAGTTGATTTTGGATCTTTTATTTGTCAAAGCTGAAACACCAACTCCTGTCCCAAAAGAGGTTCTTGCTTTTTTGTTCGTCCCAAAGTAAGGAATTAAGGATATTGTTTTAATTTGAGGAAAGAGTTGTGTGGTTCATATATTTTCTCTCTCACGTGAGTGTAAATCTCAACCACAGTTTCAGTTTTATAATAAGTATTACTGTGATTTGTGAAATGGTCTTAACTACTATCAACCTATGAGATATAATACCATTTGTATCACCCCATTTACATCAGGAAATTCCTTCCCCAAATAAATGACATAAAATCATTATTTTTGTGAAATCTCTCGAGGCTGATGAAACTATCATTCATCTTCAGGTTAAAGTTGCTGTTCAGTACATGCGGCGGATAATACAGAAAAGGGCAAAGTTTGATATTATGAAGCTTGATTGCTTACAGGTGCCTGTGACACTATCACACTCTTCACTCTTATGAGCTATCAACCTGGGCCGTGATATTGTTGCAAAAAAATTGAACCATGAGTACTTGAGTAGACTTAGGCTCCGTTTTCTAACTATAATCGGCTTAACTAGCAGAATAAGTAGATTTTGACATACCTCTGAAAGGGATGTTACCAAACACTCCTCTTTTCAAAAAAATCAGCAGATTCTGCCATGACTTTTATCTGTCGCATAATAAGTTGGACATTTAGACTGTTTTTTCGCTCACTTTTTTATTCTTCATTTTCTGAAATTAGCAGGTTGCTCCACAGACATTTATCCCTGCTTTATTTGGGCATGCTAAAGATGACAGATTCATTCAACCTCATCACACAGATCTTATCTCTAAGTCTTATGCGGTATGTAGCAATTCTAAAGCTCTTGGTTATGACTGAGTTTTCTCTCTGCTGCTTAGTTTTTAGCATTCTAAGTTTATATTTTATGTATTATTTTTTAACTGATGCAGGGTGATAAAAACTTTATCAAGTTCGACGGTGATCACAATTCTTCTCGGCCTCAGTTTTATTATGATTCTGTATCCATATTCTTCTATAATGTCCTACGCCCTCCTAGGCTTCTAACAGCATCTGCAAATAAAGTTGAGATGTACTATGAATTAGGGAACATGAGAGCCAACACCAGAACGGATGAGGTATCTTATCTTCTTTATATTTGTTAAATTATTTTCTTAACAGATACTCATTGTAATCGAGTCAATAGCACTAAAAAACTCCCTTTATTTGAAAATAAGGTTCATCATTACTATTTATTAGGATTTAGGTCAAACTATTTATTCCTTCTTTACACATTTTCATTGATCGTTTGATAAAATAAAATAGTCAAGTCACCACGTAGGTTGAGAGAGCATGAACATATACTACATTGTGATCGAGTCAATAACACTCAAAAAAATTATAATTCTCCCTTCTTTTAAAAAAAAGGTTCATCATTACTATTTATTAGGTCAAACTATTTCTTCTTTCTTTACACATTTTCATTGATCGTTTGATAATTAAAATAGTGAAGTCACCACTTGTTTTGCAGAACTTTTAATATAGTATTTAAATATACTTTTTATATAAGCTCTACACCAATTTTTGAATGTATTAAATTAAAAACAAATTCAGCCAAACATCCTAAATATGGAAACATGAACCTTTTTTTGGGACAGAGGGAATATATTAAAACATTTGTCTATCTCCATACTTAAGTATTTTTCTTCCCTTTTTAGCTATGTAGTTTTTTTTCTAAAGATTCCCCACAAAAAGATTTTCTCACTACAATTCTTTTGAAGTGAGTAGTGAATGTCTTAAATCTTAATCACCAGTGTTGCAATATTTTGTACACTGATGCATGATGGACCAAGTTTTCTAGCCATTTCTCCTACGTTTTTACCATTCATTCTGTTGTTTAACTAGTAAGAAAGGATTTTAAATAGTTCATGCATAAGAGATATGGAGAGAGAATAGCTGAAACTTTAAAAAAATTGGGAGTAGAGATCGGGAAATGAATTTTAGTTGTGTCCAAAATATTGAATAAATAATCTAATTACCCAAGGATGATATCATCAGATCTGACTTTGTGCATGAAATTACTCCTTGTCCCGAATTAATTTTCACACTTTCTTGTTTGGGGTGTCCCAAAATAATCTTCACTCATCTTTACTTTCCTAATAGTAATAAAAAATGTGGTCACGACTCTTCTCTTTCTTCTAAACAAATTTCAACCACCCACTTTTTTATTTTTCTGCACTTTTCTTAATACTCAGTATTTACAATTAATTCAGGACGCAGGGAGGATGTTAATCCATACCCTTTCTTGCTAACCAATTTTTCACTGTAAAGCCTGATAGCAAAATTTGGCATACATGTTTTCAGAGTTTGCTCAATGAGATAATTACTGGTCTTCAAAGTGTGACTACTGAAACAGCCAGCTCTTCATCAGTCCCTCCTGTCATTTCAGCAAAGTTTGTTGGTGATCTTCAGTCTGATATTGCTCCGAATTCCAGTGCAACTGTATGGGTCTTTCACTTGCAATGTCTGGTTTTCCTTCACATTTATCTTTTTTTTCTTCTTCTTCCTAAAGTTGAGTTTAACAAAAATTGTAGGATCCATTGGTAGTTGAAGAAAATATTCCACATGACAGACAGGTACTTCTGATATATTACATACGCCGCTGTTTCACATTATTTGGCATTTAAGAGTTAAGTATACATATCAAGAAACTAAGAAAGACATTAAATATCCTAAAAAATGCAATCAGTTTGTACATCTAAACTCCCCCTAATAATTTCCCCTCGTAAGAACCCATTGAAATTACTACCTCTATCTAAAAAAAATCACGTTTAATCAAGCTACACCATTTTTATTTAGCAAGTAACTTTTGAAAGTCATGGAATCATATTTGTATTTTTAAATTTATTCCGTATTCGTTGGTTTAACTTGGTTCTGATTTTTTTTTTTTACAATGACATGATAAACTAGCTTTATTTGATGAAATATGACCCCCTTGGTTGGAGACAAGTTTTTAAACAAGATTTTATTATTCGGATCAAACAACACCATTCCATCCTAATTCAAATGAAACAACATTAGATTTCTATCTTTTGTTAGTGTTCCCTTTTCGAGCCAGTTACACCTATCTACTCACGAGTATGATCAAAGTCTGTGTACACATACTCTCCCTACACTCTACTTTTTATGGTATTTTTTTTGTTCTTACCCACACATGCTTCCTCCATCGGTCCATCCCAACATTAAACCTCCATTGCAGATAACGAAGCGTGATCTAAATCATTTTCAATTTAATTTATTTAAATAATGGTACAAAATTTTAAATAAAATTTATATATTTAAGTATTAGTGAATTGCATCAAATGGTATATAAAAGATGTGATGACTATTATTTTAACAAATGATTAACGAAAATAAGTTAAGAAAGATGAAAAAGTTTGATGTGTGAATAGTGTACTCGGACTTACTATTATTATTACTATTGTTATCTATTTTCTTTCATTTTAAGAAGGGAACTAGTAGTCAAAATGAGGATTGTTTCTCCTACACAAGCTCGAATAGGGAGAGTTGGGGAAGATGCTCATCTCTTGGAAGTGATAACGAGACTTGCTCCGAAAATGGACATGTTATAATGAGTGACAATCAGGTCTCGCTCTTCACCATTGATCTTAATAAATTGCACATATTTTGTTTCTCTTTTAATACTTTCTGCTCTTTATAATAAAAATTTACCACTTCACTCTGGTTCTTATCACACGGTTTTGGATCCGTTTGACCGGGTTTTCACCAACTACTGAATGCCTGGTTTTTTTGGTTTTTGCTTACCGAACTAGTTGCCCGGCCAATATCTGATCCAACCAACTGAAAACCGGTCTGGTCGTGTTTTCAAAACCATGATACTACTACATTGAATCAACAATATAGTGTGCTCATTTTTTCTTTAAAACAACAAACCTATTCATATCCCAATAGATTTAGGGTCTGGGGAGCCAGCGTGTACGCAGACCTTATCCCTACTATGAAGTAGAGATACTGTTTCCAAGAAACCATTGAAGCTCATATTTTCTTAGGGTCCGTTTGGTATATAGAATTGATGGAATTGGAATTGAAATTCTATGGGATTCAGTTCCATAGAATTGAATTCACGAATTCCAATTTATTTTTTGCACTATCAATTCTTCATGTACATAATTTTTGTGCTACCAAACACCAGAATTGGAATTGAAGTCCTTAATTCCAATTCCATAGTTTAAATTCCGTGCACCAAACGGGTCCTTAAGCAGTACTAAAATGGTAATATTAAAAGCTAAGTCGCTCGCTTGATGCTTGTGTTTGATCCTTCTTCCATCAGACTCAGACTCCTCTGGAGATCCTCGCAACGCCTCTGCGAAGATTTCGAAAAACCATATTGGAGTCTTCAAGAGATGAGAAGAAGGCAAAGAAGAAGAACGCAGAGATGACACCTCCTCTGACAAAGAAATCTAGATGCGAGACATTTGAAAAGCTGGAGGAGCTCAGCCAGCGCTTGCGGCTTTGTATTCTGAAGAGAGTTGGCCGTGGCCATAACAGACAACGCGTCTCTTGACCCCCCCCACCCCACCCCCGCGGATGCCTTTCTGTGTATGTATGTGCAAAAGCAGCGTAGATCACCACGTACTGCAACTGTATTGTAAGGAGGAGTTTTACAACACTGAGTCATTGTAATGTTTGTATCTCCAACTGTGAAGTGTTACATTTTAGGGTATTCACACAATCTCACATTTCACTTTCTTGTGGTTTGCTCATTTCCCTTCATTCAAGGAACCTTGATTTGATTCACATTGGTGGCATGATTGGTTCTCATTGGTGTATTATGAAAGATAGTTTATTTTTGAATGATCAATTGATGTAATATAAGAATCTCAATCTTATCATTGTGCAAAGTTTTATTACGGAGTACTCTCCTTTTCAATTTAAATTGCCGATTTACTATTTACAGGGTTAAATTTTATTCTTTTTTTTCTTTTTTATCGTGAGGCATTTGATAAAATAATATAATCATGTCACCACTAGTTTTCTAAATCTTTTGATCTAGTTTTAAATATGTACAAGTATTTTTTTATTTTTTAATTCTACACTATTTTTCATATAAAATGAAAATAATTTTAGTCCAACATTGTAAATCGAAATAGACAATATAAATTGGGACGGAGGGTGTATAATTTTGACACTAATAAGTATTCAAAATTGTTTGGACTAAGCTGGTGATGGGTATTTCACCTCTCACCTTAGTTTTTCATAGACATTCACAAATGATCCCTCTATCTCAATTTAAATTACCCGTTTTGGTTCATGATATTTGACTAAAATTACTATTAGTTATTTTATAAGAAAAGCGGTGTGAAATTTCAAAATAATACTCATATACGGAGTATTAAACAATTAATTCCAAAATTCTACAAGTAAGAGGTGACATGACAATATGAAATTACTAAATGGGTAACGAGAGCGGTTAAAATATGATTCTGCGAATAGTAGATAAACAACATGATTTGGTACTTTGAAGACCGTAAAAAAAAATAAGAAGGTGCAATCTAATTTGAAATATTTAGGATGAAAGTGAAATATAATTTTTTGCAATCTAAGAACGTGCAATCTAATAAGAAATATTTCGGATGAAAGTGCTTGAGAAGATAATTTTCCTTCTATATTAATGAGTAAAATGAGTGAAATCATTTTTCCGAATGTCTCAAACCAAACATAACATTAATAAAGTTTAAAGGAGATTAACATTTAATAAATTCAACATAATTAACCTAAGGTGAGACTAAACGTCTAATTTTGCCAAATCAACTCCCATTCTTATAAATTCAATATTTGTAATTTAGAGAACATATTCAACAAATTTGGATGGAAAATAGTATATTTAGTCATTTCATTTAACTTATTTCAAATATTTTGTACAGTATTAAAAAAATTTGGTACAAGCAAGTTATTAGGTACAACATGTAATGAAGATAAGAGATGGGTGGTGACCTGACCAAGGCGACAATGGGTCCTTTGTAGCGGCGACCCATTGACAACAACTTCTGTGCATGAAACCCTAGCTAATATCCGTGACGGCGGTGATCGACTTTTCGTAAAGCTTCTAGTAGTACGAGATTTAAAATTATTATATCCGTGTATGGAATTAGTATATCAACCCTTCAAAATATGATGAGAGGAAAATATATTGACAAGGACGAGTGTTTATATTTTCATGGAATATGCAAGATTCAATCCAAAAAAAAAAACAAAACAAATCGGAGCTGAAAAGTGAAAACAAAGGAAGGTTTTTATTCGTCCCACACCGGAATATTAGTTTATACTTTTCTTCTTAATAAATGGCCAGTTCTAAATTTCGTTCGCCGAGCTCAGTAACGCGGGCTTGTCACCCTAGTGGGGGCTATGAGGTGGTGGAACAATGGGCAGGTCTCGATGGCTGGGCTGAAGAAGATAATATTTGGGCCGCCCATTCCAAGCTGAGATTTGGGCCGAGGTTCTTGTTCGAAAGAATGGGAGTCTGGTCCACTAAAATGGAGGGCAATGCGTGAGGCTGGTTTCACAGAGCAACGGAAACCTCCTCTTCTCAGCAGTGGAAGGATAACAGCCCAATATCTTCTAGGCCCAAAAAAGCTTGTCGGGCTTCCCAATTTGGACCATCACCTTTTCTTCTTTTTTTCTCTCAATGCCATTATTAAAAAATTGTCTAAAAACCCCCAAAATAAGATATTATGCCGAGCATTTAGTATTTGTCGAGTTTTTTTCCCAATTAACTATTTTTAACTTATAATTAAATAAAATATATACTTAACATTTATTATATAAAATATATTTTAAAAATATTTGATATAATAAATCTAATAAAATTATTTTTGAATTAATATCTAATATTGTTTTTATTTAATTTATTTGACAAATTTACCAATTTTAATCGAAAAAATAAAAAATGAACGAATACCCTGCGACGAAAGGAGTACTTTATAGACC